CTAAGACTCGGTAAAAGACTAACAAACTCTAGACTTAGTCAAAATGCATGTGTTGAATGTTGTAATTTAACACTTCCCCTCAACATCAGCACTCATTTTCATCAAACCGAGTTGATGACATAAGCTTGTAAGCTGGTTGCTATTCAAGCCTTTTGTGAACAAGTCTGCCACTTGATTCTTTGTCTCTATATATTCCAACTTAATTTCTTCTTGAAGAACTTTCTCCCTGATGAAATTATACTGTACCGCTACGTGCTTCGTTCTAGCATGAAAGACTGATTTTCCGCTAAACGTATTGCCGACTGATTATCGCACAATAAGGAAACCATATAATCTAAGGGTTGATGCAGATCATTCAATAAATATATGAGCCAAGTACTCTCTTGTGCCGCCATTGCCGCAGCCCGATATTCCGCTTCGGTTGTCGACAAAGAAACAGTGGGCTGCCTTTTGCTACACCAAGAAATTGCTCCGGACCCAAGCATAAAAACGTATCCAGTAGTTGAGCGTCGAGTATCATGGTCCCCAGCATAGTCGGCATCACAGTAACCAAATAACTTGCAATCTCCACCTTTCTTATATAAAATACCATGACCAAGTGTGGTTTTCACGTACCTCATAATTCGCCGAACAGCTTCGAGATGGGGTTTCTTTGGATTTTGCATGTACCGACTCATCACGCCAACTGCAAAAGAGATATCGGGCCTTGTTATAGTTAAGTAAATCAGGCTACCCACCAATTTCCGATACATCGTTGTATCTTCCAAATCACTTCCTTCGTGAGCACACATTTTGGCATTTGGCTCCATAGGTGTCGAAATTGGCTTACTGTTAACCATTCCAAATTTCTGCAGCAAATCCCTAGAATATTTTTGTTGGTGGAGAAATATTCCTTCTTGAGAATACTCAATCTCTAAACCAAGAAAATGCTTGAGTTTGCCAAGTTCCTTCATTTGGAAACGAATGGATAGGTTCTCCTTTGTTCGTTGAATTTCTTCTTCGCAATCACCTGTTACAATTAAATCATCCACGTATACAAGCACAATAGCTAGTCTCGATCCACTAACTTTAACGAATAAATTAGAATCAGCCGATGTTACCGAATAGCCACTATGAGTAAGAAATTCAGCAATCTTACCATACCAAGCTCTTGGAGCTTGTTTCAAACCGTAGAGCGCTTTACGTAGTTTGCACACATATTCTGGATGATCCCGACTTTGGAAACCCAATGGTTGATTCATGTATATCTCCCGATCCAACTCCCCGTGCAAAAATGCATTCTTTACATCCATCTGCCACAAGCTCCAATTTTTATTTGCAGCAAGTGCAAGTAAGACTCGAACGGTTGTAAGCTTTGCGACTGGACTAAACGTTTCATCATAGTCTAGTCCATATTGTTGAGAGAATCCTCGAGCTACCAATCGAGCCTTGTACCTCTCGATCGATCCATTTGCGCACCGTTTTATTTTGTACACCCACTTGCAAGAAATAGGCTGCACTTCTCTTGGTTTTGGTACGAGCTCCCAAGTTTGATTGCGTTCTAAAGCACCAATTTCTTCTTTCATAGCTTTATTCCATTCGAGGTTTTGAGATGCTTCCTCAAACGTCTCAGGTTCTTTAGCATCTTTTTCTTCTACAATGGCAGCAGTGGCATATTTAGGATTCGTCTTTCTAGCTCGTGTTGATCTTCTTAGCGAAATTGGCGTTTCTCCTCCGCTAGATTCAACCTCTTCTCTTGGTTGTTCATAAACACCAGTTTGCCAAGGATTTTGAGCTACGTCTTCTTCACCATCACCATCATCATTTGAAGCATCATCTACACTAAGTTGAATCTGGGCTGATTCTAACTTATCTTCAAAATTATTTGAATCGGGTAATATTTCCTTTTCCGAAGACCACCTAGAAGAAGCTTCGTCAAACACCACATTTCGAGATGTGTAGCATTTTCTTGTTGTAGGATCACAACATTTCCACCCTTTTCGTTGACTATCATAACCGACAAAAATACACCTGACTGCTTTCTTGTCCATCTTGTTACGTAAATGATTAGGAACAAATACATAACACACGCAACCAAAAACTCGAAAATAGCTAACTGTAGGTTTCATATTCCATAGTTTTTCAAAAGGTGAAAGAAAGTATAACCTTTGTTGGGGCAGCCGATTAATTACAAATGCAGCCGTCGCCATTGCTTCTGCCCAAAATTGACCAGGAACATTTTTCGCGTGAAGCATGCTTCTACAAATTTCTGCCAAGTGTCGGTTCTTTCTTTCGGCTACGCCGTTTTGCTGTGGAGTATTGGGGCACGTGAAGTGATGGCGTATTTGAAACTCCCTAAGAAAATCAGAGAACTCATGTGACGTATATTCTCCCCCGTTGTCCGATCGCAAACATCGAACCTTCCTACCAATTTTCGATTCTGCACTCTTTTTAAACTCTTTGAATTTTGAGAAAGTTTCGGATTTTTCCTTGAGGAAATAGACCCATACGAACCTGTAGAAATCATCAATAAAAGTTACCATATACCTCATTCCGCCGATCGAGGCTAGCTTGACAGGTCCAAACACATCAGAGTGAATTAACTCTAATGGTTCCTTTGCTTTGAACTTTGATTCTTCATATGGCAGCTGATGCGATTTCCCGTATTGGCATCATGCACAAATTGTATCGGTTCTTACTTCAAGGTTGGGAAGACCCTTTAACATCGTCTTTTTCATCATCACATTCAGCTTAGAATAGCTAACGTGGCTTAGTCGCATATGCCATAGATCTGCGGTTTCATTTTTCCTCGTTTTGTCAACGTATGCTGTCTCGGCACTCATCACATAGATGGACTCTAGCTTCTTTCCCTTCATTATCGGCTCTTCCACAATCTCCAGGTGATGGTATATCCTTACATCCTCCGGGCCAAATAATACATATTTGCCCGATTTCGTAATTTGTGCTACGGATAAAAGATTTTTCCTCATTCCTGGAACGTGATATACATTTTGCAGCGGTTCTTCATTTGCATTATATTGAGGAGAGATCAGAGTATTACCAACGTGAGCTATTGGTAATTTTGAGTTGTCGGCTGTCACGACCACTCGATTTCCCTTATATTCACAGATATTTTTCAGCTTCTCCTTGTCGCCTGTCATATGATTTGAGCAGCCCGAGTCAACTATCCAATCATTCTCATAATCGATTTGAGATGACATTGTTGTTGCTAGAGCTAGCTCGTCTTCGTCCATCGCAAGAAATGCCTCGGCATCCCATTCCTCTTCACATTTGGAAGTAGCAGCATTACTTTCGACGGGCGCCTTTTTCCTCGCCCAACAAACGCTTTCCATGTGGCCCTTCTTCCCACAATTATGGCACTTCCCGTCAAACTTTTTGTAGTTGCCATAATTCTTCGAAGATCCCCCTGCACGAGTGCTCGATTCCTTTTGATAATGAGTTTTTCCTTTATCCTCATTTCTCCTAAATCCACCAGCATGGCGTTGTTTGGTATTCCATTTGCTTTTGTTGGCGTAGAGAGCTTCCTCTTCACCTTTAAGCGAAACTCCTCCCATTTGCTTCGCTAGAGCTTCTTGAACGGCGAGCAAATTCTCGAACTCGACAAGTGATGGCTGATTTGGCCAACCCTGTATTGCAGCAACAAAGCCTCTATACTCAGGCCTCAAACCATGAATAATTATTCTCTTTATTCTGGTTTCTCCGATCGGCGCTTCTGGGTCTAGCTCAGAAATTTCCCGACATAGTGACTTTACTTTATGAAAATATTGAGCGATCGTCATATTAGATTGTGCTACGGACAATAGCTCGCTCTCGAGAAGTTGAAGCCTCGTGTCATTCTTCTTGGAAAACAGCTTGGCGAACGTATCCCAAGCTTCTCTCGGGGTTTTGGTATCTCGAATGTGCTCCAGCACATTGTCTTCAATCGTAGTCTTCAAAGCGAACATTGCTTTGCCTGCCTTTATCTTCCATTTTCGCAATACACCATTTGCATCTACCTCAGGTTGCGTAACTTCACTTCCGTTAACAACCTCCCACAAGTCTTGGCCTTGCATGTAAGACATCATGCAAGTAGACCAAGAATTGTAGTTTTGATTGTTAAGCTTTCTGATTCCGCCAACAACTTGGAGATCGCCCATTCTCGAAATTGATACTTTGTTACGAAATCAAATGCCGGCCTGTCCGCCTGGCTCTGATACCAGATTGTTGAACTATAACTTGGCAGAGAAGTGCAAAATATGTAATAAAGAGAAGAAAATGAAAATACTTAAACTGGAAATTGGCTACGAATTGAATTAATTATTATATGCTAATATGCTGCCTTATATAGGCAAACACACATAGAATTCCACTAACAAACTAATCTCTAGAAAATAGGAGATATAACTGACTTGCTAATGACTTGGTAAAAAACAATTATTAAACTAAGACTCGGTAAAAGACTAACAAACTCTAGACTTAGTCAAAATGCATGTGCTGAATGTTGTAATTTAACATTTTGTCTCCTTCCAAAATACAAACAAACATTACTTTCATTCTCAAATTATTCCCCCAAAACATATTTACTCAAAATGAAATCAAAATAAGATCCAAAACGCTTCCAAACATTGATATTTTTTATTAAAAAAATAAATAAAAATGATAAATGCAGGTCCAAAAATGATAAATGCAGTTGGCCATAATGTTGAGTACAAGTAGCAAAAATATTGAATGCAATTGGGTGAAAATTGCACATAAGGACACAATAGTACTTTTGTCTTTCCAGGGATATCTCAAAGGAAGAATTTAGAGGTGGACATATCTCTATGTATTTTCCGACTATGGGTGTATATCAAATGGATGCTTATTATATAATTAATGGTTTGATACTTATTGGGAGTTGATTTCATTTCCAAATTCAAGATTTAAGATGACAATTATTTGAAAATTACATATGGTACTGGATTCTTGAATATTCAGAATGATTTGGTTTGATTTTGTAAATAATTACGATGTTCGTTTTATTTTCTCCATAATATTATAGTTCATAAACAATAAAAAAATCGAAATTTCAAAGACATTAGCCCAATTTATTATCCTTCCACACACACAAACAAACAAACAAAAAAGAAGAAAAAAAAAAAAAAAGAGCACAATATTTATCGAATCACCAACCAAGAGTATCAATAATCCCTAAGACCACATCACAAATATGCTTGAATCCATCCTCCCTAAGAGCAATCCCAGCTGGATAAATTAATCCCGGATATCTCTTAAACACGTTACGACATGCATTCGGATAATCCGCAGCAGCCATCACATGCATGTACGCATAATCGTAAATTTCCGCACTCAAATCTTGATACGAGTTTACGAGTGCATCATTTGCGGAAGCGTATTTCTCAGAGCATTCCTTCATAGCTTTCTTCATGGACGATCCGTTTGCGACGCTCGGAATTTTCGAGGAGAGGTAAGAATTTGTGGCCGAGGCATTCGCCATTCCAACTCTAACCATGATTAGGGCTAACCCTTTTGCCGAGTCTGCTTTCGAGCTCGATGAATCGGATTTCAGCGAGGACACACACAACTCGTAGTATTGTGTGTTTTTGCAGGTTTGCTGAATCAAATCTGATGATGATGATGATAAAATGGGATTGAATAATGAGGTGAAGAAAATGAAGAGAAACAGAAACAATGAAAACCCCATTTTGTGTTACTTTTGTTGATTTTGTATTGGAATAGTTCCCTTCTTATAGATAGTTTAGTTTCAATTATTGGGATCCACTAGTCTTGTGACTTGTACATCGGAGCCCAAATTTGTATTATTACATCCGCGGGTATATGGTCTAGTTTGTGGAGTAGAAGAGTGTACGTATGTGTAAATTGAGTTAATTCTCTCTGCCAATACTTTTTAGGTCGCGCGAGCTGGTCGTGTATATGGGGGCTTGCGTAGTGAGATTTAGACATGTCATGTGGTTTATGGGTTACAACACGATTGTGAAGCTTACTCAGTGCACATATGTGAATACGGGCTCCTTCGTTGAAAAATAAAAATTTGTTATTGTTATTACACAACTTATTTTAATTACTATTTTTTTAAAATTGTAATAGTGTAAAAATATACATGACTTGCTTCCTAGGGATGTAGTGGTAAATAGGGTTGGAAATTGGACGAATCAAATTGGAAATCTCACTCTGAAAATAAATCAAAAATTTTGAAAATTGTAATTTCGAAAATTGAAATAGAAAAAATTGTTCCAAAATCGGAAATTTTCTAACCGAATCTGCGGAATTCGAATTCCTTTCTTTTTGCATCTATAATATAAAATAATTATAATTATATTGATATTAGATGTGTAATTTTTGGAAATTGAAATTGGGTCGAAAATTGGAATCTAACATGTATTCCAATTTTCTTCCAAAAAAATTTATATCAAGACTAAAACTTTCGAAATTCAAAATGAAAAATATTGTTCCGAAATAAGAATTAATATTCATATCATAATCGATAAAATTTGGAAAAATTAGTCGGGTTCCATCTCTAGAAGTAAAGTATATTACATGAAATGCACTTGTTTTGCTAAGTTCTCAAACTAAGCAATTGTTTGTTAAGTTCTTCTATCTATCTAAACTATTCTTTAACACTAGTTTGAAATGCCATATTTGTTTGTTAAACTATTTAACTAAGCTCTTGTTTGCTAAGTTATCCAACAAAACTATCTATGTCTAAATGTTCCCTTAACATTATTTGAATTGTCGTATTTGTTTGTTAAGTTATTTAACTAATCTGTCGTTTGTTAAAATGTGTAAAGAAGAAAATTACGGTCACCCTCTTAAAGTAATGTCAAATTACGAAGAAAAAAAAAACTCTCATGTTTGGATAATTACAATCATCTCCCTATATCATGTATTATCTTACACATTCACCCTTATAGTGACAAATTTACCTGCTGAAAGAGGAGTTTTTCCGTAAGTCAATACAGAGTTGATGATTTTTTGTAATTTAACCTTACCTCGTGAGTGGCCGTAATTTGTCCCACATATAAATTTATGTACTGAAATATCAAATTAAAACTTA